GCATACGTATTTAGAATCATTACAATTTCCCAATGAAGGAAAATTTTTATCATTTTAGTATACTGATTTTTATCATTACTTCTAGTGCCTTAACATATTTTGCATAATAGCAACACAGTAACTAGCTTTATTTTGGTTGTCATGTGTGTGGCACATCTTTTAAACACTTTTGTTCTCAACCTTTCCATATTCCTTTGTTTATATGACCTTAATATTATTTACGCTTAGATTCTTCTTCTAACTTCTTAGACTATCATTTTTATCTCTAGGAGTTCAATTAGGTGTTTTACATTTTCTGTAGGGCACAGGTGAGGGTGCACTGTGGTTGTAGAAGAGTAACAGAAAAATGATGGAAGACTTCTCGGTGCCTGAGAGTGGGAAAGGCCATATGTCAAGGCCTGGGTGCCCAGGAGCACATGTGGAGTCAGACCACAGCTGGCCATCCGGCGGGGGGGAGTCCATTCTTGAGAATCGGTCCTCCCAAGACTAGAAACAGCAAATGACAGAAACCTCCTCTGTCCCCAGCATAAGTCCAACGCCAAAGCAAAGACACTGCCATGCACAACTTAGGACCTTGGGGGAGAGGGTTGTGGGGAATAAAGCCACTTAGAGAAGCTGAAACTCCTGCCCAAGATTGAGAAGTCCCCCATCTTCCAATCTGCTCCACCATCAGCCCACCACCAGAGGAATATGGAACCATGGCTCATGGTTGGGGACCACAGCTCTAGGTTCACAGGAGGGGACCACACCTCCAGGTTCACAGGAGGGGACCACAGCTCTACCTCACAGGAGGGAACTACAACTCTGGCTCATGGGAGGCCGACCAAAGCTCCAGCTCACAGGAGGGGACCATTATGCTTGGATTCTTAAAACACAATCTGATCACTTTTTCAGTTAACTGAGCATTCGGTATGCAGTATTACCTAAGTTAATAACTGGCACGTGTGTGTTAATTTCTGCTGTCATTGTGTTTTCTTTTTCTCTTCTCTTTCATGTCCACCTTTTTCTTGCCTTTTTACAACTAGAAAAGAGAGGCTTCTGACAAATTCATATGAAGATATATAATTAGACTCAAGTTTAAGGTTGTTTTGCTTTTATTTGGGGGAGGTGTTTTTAAGATAGAGTCTTACTACTTAGCCTAGGCTGGCTTTGAATTTGTAGTCATCCTCCTGCCTCAGTCTCCTGAATGCTGGGATTTCAAGTGTGTGTTACCATGCCCAGAAGGAAATTAAATGTTTTCTCTTTTTTTTTTTTTTTTTTTTTTTTTTTTAATTTTGAGAGGGTTTCTTTGTAGCCCCAGCTAGCCTGGAACTCACTATGTAGATCTGGCTGGCCTCAATCTCACAGAGATTTGCCTGCCTCTGCCTTCCGAGAACTGGGATTAAAGGCGTGCACCACCCTAGCAGACCCTAAATGTTTTCTTAAATTTGATTTTTAAAAAGAGGAGAGAAAAGAGCAAACCAGAAAAGGGGAAAATGGTTCTTTATGAAGTAGAAATGAGCTGGGCGCAATAGCTCGGGCCTGTAATGCCAACACTTGGGAGGTTGAGGTAGGATTGGCATGAGTTTGGGGCCAGCCTAGGCTGTAGAGCATGTTCCCAGACAGACTAGGCTACAGTGTGAGACCTGTGTCAAAAAAAGAAAAATGAAGGGGCTGGAGAGATGGCTCAGTGGTTAAGAACATGACTGCTCTTACAGAAGACCTGGGTTCAAATCCCAGCACCCACATGGCAGCTAAAAACTGTCTGTAACTCCAGTTCCAGGGGATCTGACAGCCTCTTCTTCTGTGGGCATTGCACAACAGGGGTGCACTTACCTACATGCAGACAATATATGCATACACATAAAATAAAAATAATAAATAAAATATTAAAAAAAAGAAAAGCAAAGAAGAAATGGAGGCCAGCTTTGGGGAACCATAGCTATAGAGAGACTGTGTTGCTGCCTCCATCTGCTTCTCAGAACGATCCCCAGTTATTTCACTTAACCCTGCAAGGCACTGAGGAAAGAGACTGCTCAGTTTCCCAACAATGGTCTGTACTGGAGTTATCATTTTGAGTTAGCCTTCTAGATATGTGAAAACACCAGCATAGCAAAATAGCTAGAAAGCCGCCATTTGTTTGTGGCCCTCACAGCACTTTTCACTAAATTACCGCTCTAGCTTGTCGCTGATTGATGATGCTACTACATTCTTTAGTCACAACGTTCATTTAGTAGTATTGTTCCGGGTGCATGGAAAGTCAGTTTTGCTACCACTGTCTATAAATTTCTCCAAAGCACGGTACTTTCCTCCAAGCTTGAGTGGCTCTACTTCAAGTCTCAGCAGGGCACATAGCAATCCCGGCTCTAGCTTAGTGAGGCTCTTTTGATGATCTGATTGTAGGTAAGTTCAACTGAGAAAATCTCAAATTACTATAACTACTTAGTCATCGCTTAAGGCAAAAGTTAATTTTACAGTGGAAAAAATCTGGTAGATACAGTCCCCATTATTGGGGACACCAACAATAATAGACCAAGCTGATCTTACACAGCTCCTGACGTAAAGTACTGAGCTACAATATCCTGGGGACTAGAGGTAACTCAGTAGTTAAGAGCACTGACTGCTCTTGCAGAGGACGTGGGTTTGATCCCCAGCACCCACATGACAGTTAACAACTGTCTCTAATTCCAGTTCCAGGGAATCCAATGCCCTCTTCTAACCTCTGAGGGCACTGCATGACACAGGTGCACTTACACACATGAAGAAAATACACTCATACACATAAAATAAAATAATAAATAAAGGGGCTGGAGAGATGGCTCAGCAGTTAAGAACACTCATTGTTCTTTCAGAGGACCTGGGCTCAGTTTCCAGCACCCAAATGGTGGCTCACAACCATCCATGGCTCCTGTTTCAGGGGATGTGATGATGCCTT